CTCCATATCAATTTTTAAATCAGCTTGTCAATTTTTATAAAAAAGCAAACTGGGATTTTGTGAGAGACTACATTGAATCTATAGATCAATTTGCGGAGTATTGCCCTTTTAGCAATATTAAACCTTTCAGTCCATTACCATAGGATGTTTTTCCATTAATTTAATATTTTCAGCAATGTTTTATAGTTTTCGGATTATAAGTTTTGCACTTCTTGTCTTTTTCCTGTTCTTAGGGGTAAAGGATTCAGTCTTTCATCACTAAGTATGAAATGAGTGTAGGTTTTTTCATTAATGCTCTCTCTAGTATTGAGAAAATTCCCTTCTATTCTGAGGTGGTTGTGTATGTTTTTCATGAAGGAATGTTGAATTTTGTTGCATGCTTTTTCTGCATTTATTGAGATGATCATGTGGTTTCTGTCCTTTGATCTATTGATATGGTATATTATATTAATTTTTGGATGACAACCCAAAATTCCTGATATAAATCCCACTTAGTTATGGTGTTTAGTTCTTTTCATATATTGCTAGATTCAGTATTTTGTTTAGGATTTTTAACAGAATATCTATAAGAAATATGGGTCTGTAGTTTTATTTTATTATGATGTCTTTGTCTGATTTTGATATCAGGATAATACTGGTCTCGTAGAATGAGTTGGGAAGTGTTCCCTCCTTTTCTAATTTTTGGAAGTGTTTGTGAAGAATTTCTATTAATTCTTTAAGTGGTCGAATTCTGCAATGAAGTCGTCTGGGACTGAGGGGGTGTTTTTTGTTTCATTTTTGTGGGTAGTTTTTAAATTACGAGTCCAATTTCTTGTTATAAATCTATTCAGATTTTCTTTGTGAGTCAGTTTTGATAATTTGTGTCAATTTCATCTAAGTTATCTAACTTATTGGCCTACAGTTTTTCATAGTATTTCTTTATAATTCTCTTAATAGCTGTAAGGTCAATAGCAATATCACTTCTTTCATTCCTAGTTTTAGTAATGTGAGTCTTTTTTCTTGGTCAGTTTAGCTAAATATTTATCACTTTTGTTTCTCTTTTTAAGAAACAAACTTTTAGCCTCCTTCGTTTTCTCTATATTTTTTAAAAAGTTCTCTTTCATTATTTCCTTCCTTTTGTATACTTTGGATTTAGTTTGCTTCCCATTTCCACCCAAAAGTATTTTAAAGTGGAAAAATAGGTTACATGTTCCTTTTTGTTTTTTAATGCATTGAATCTCTAAGTTTCCTTCTAAGATTGCTTTAGCTAAGTCCCATAACTTTTGTTATGTCATTTCATTTCTGTCAAAGTTTTTACCAATTTATCTTTTATGCCCTCTTTGTCCATTGGTTATTTAGAAATGTGTTGTTCATTTCCACATATTTGTGAATTTCCAAAAAAATTTTCTGTTAGTAATTTCTAATTTCACTATATTTTTATCAAAAAAGCATACTGTCTATGATTTCAGCTCTCTCTAATTTGTGGAGATTTGTCTTATGGCCTAGCATATGGTCTCTTCCACAGAATGTTCCAGCCCTTGAGAAGAATTTGCATTCTTCTGTTGTTGATCAGAGTGCTCTATAAATGTCTGTGTTAGGTCTAGGTGGTGTATAGTGTGGTGCAAGTGTTCTAATTCTTATTAATGTGTCTGAGTGTTCTATCCATTATTGAAAGTTGGATATGGAAGTCTCCAACTATTACTGTTGAACTGTCTAATTCTTTTTTTACTCTGACAGTTGGTGTTTCATGTATTTTGAGGCTCTGTTGCATATATATATATATATATATATAATTGTTATATATTTCTGGTGGATGAACTATTTTATTATAAAATGTCCCTCTTTATATCTAGTAATATTTTCTTGTTCTATTTTTTCTGATATTAGTATAGCCACGTGTTGTGACTTTGTTAAATTAATACACACACACACACACACACACGTTATTAGAGCCCTGGGTGTCACACGGTTAGCCAAAGCCAAAGTTCAATAGAAGACCACAAGGAAAATTGCAATAGAAAAGTTTATTACTCACAAGTCCTGGAGGAAGTGCACAACATGTCTTGAAGGTCCGTGCAGGGAGGTCTAGGCAGGGTGCAGGAATAGAGAGTGGCATGACCTGGATCAAATGCCTTTATTTATTTGAGTCAGTGAGTAGGATGCTTTGGGGTTCCAGGCTAAAGCCAGAATTGTCAATTCAAACCAGAAGGAGCGCAGTTTGGGTAAGCTTCAAAGAAGTCTTATCTAAAGGGCACACAAAGTGAAGGCCTTAGGAGGAGAGTGGGAGACTGTTTATCACAAGGGCCTTCGGTGAAGTCAGATCAGGAATTTACATTTACTTGTGACTCTGTGTGCTGTTATCTAGGACATGTGCTCCTGGGAGGGTCTAGTGTCAACTCAAGGCCCCTGCAGGTTGTTTGGCCACACAAAATGGATGCCAAGGCAGCAATATTATGGAGTAGCTCAGCTAAACCCCCTCACAACTATACTCTCTGTGAGATAATGTCCTCAAATGGTCTCATGGCTCTTTAAGCCAAGATTGGGAAGATTAATTAGTCTCCTTTCCCATCTGGATGCATAAAGGCAAAAGTAAAGATCATTCTACATTTGTGAGGTTGGCTTTAAATTTTAATTTTAAAGAAGCTTATTAAATGTTTTATAATGTTCTTGTTCATGCATAACAGGTTTAAATCTAGCCAAAGAAAATTCTAAGTGTTCAAAGTCATACCATGTGAAACTCTAAATTGAATACACAAAAAGTTGGCCTTCTGAGGAGTTACTAGCTACTGATATAATTAGTTGGCACATTACAGGGGATTTGTAGCTTAATATTAGCTTGATATATGTTATTGCAATTGTCTAAACGGCACAACGGGAGCTAAAGCTATAGACACTATGCCTAAATTCTGAAGTCTCATCTATTTCAGGAGGATAAAGAGAAGAGTGTTCACTTCGTATTAAAGTCTCTGGTACAAGTAGCAACTCTTACCACACAGATGGTCCAAGGCATAGAAGGAATAATAAATAATGCAGAATGAGGACAATTAGAAATGCTTTAATTGGACCAGGACCGCGATGGTTATCTGCGCACACCAGAGATGTCACTTAACAGCTCCATGTTAATGATAACTTTAATGGTGGC